ATAAAAAAATTTTACATAATATTATATTTTAATTTAAATTAAAAATTTAAATTAACAAACTCAACCGCTCCTTAAATTTTTGTCTCTCTTCAATCAAAGACAATTTCGGTGGCGTAAGCGAAATGGGAAAAGGTAACAAAGGACAACAAGACAAAACTAGATGATGACCCTTTGACAAGAAAGTTGGCAGTTGGTTAGCACTCCTTTTGTTAGACGAGATACTTTAGCAAAAAAAAATTCATATGGTGGACCGTGGACGGTTCTACTATTAAAATCAATTTTTTACTGTAAAATTAAGTTAAAATCACGTCAATTTAAAAAAAATATATAAAATATATAATTTTTAATATAAATCTAATAATTAAAAATAAAAAATTATTAATAATTTTTTTTTTTTTAATTTTACTAGAAGAGAAACTCTCTTAAAAAAATATTGGTTTTTATTTTCTAATTTTGGTTGGTGGATACAACATTTATGTTTCATTCCAAGGAATGAAGTACTGTTTCCGAAGGACCAAATTAACCTTTCAGAAGATCATTCCAACAGATTGTTCTAATTATTTTCCTAATTAGAAATGTAGTCAACAATGCCAAAGACTTGATAATTGACAATTAAATGAATGTATATCTTAAAGGCTCATTTGGTAATGTTTTTAAAATAGTTTTATTTCAGTACAAAAATAAAAATGTGATTGTTTTGAAAATCATTCTGAAACCAATTATGAAATTACGTTTGGTAGTCTTTCAAAAGATTGGTTTGAGTATAATAAAAAAGTGAAATCGTTTGGTTACATATATGTTTGTTTTAAATACATGTAATTAATAATCTTAAATTAATATATTAAGTAATTAGTAATTGATAATTATTTAGCAAATAAAAATTAATATATTAATAATATAATAATAATGGATAAATTATTGAGTACATTAGTAATTAAAATATATATTTAATAAATTAATATGCTAAATAATTAAAAATAATAATTAGCAATTAACTATAAGTAATTACTATGTTAATAATGTACTCATATTTATTAGATTAGAAGTAATTAATTAGTGTATTAAGAAAAATAATTAGTATATACATAAATTATTAATATTCCATTTACTACTTAAATTATTAACTTTTAGTTACATCATTAAATAATTAGTTAATTAATTACTAATATTTATTTAATAATCTATTATTTGATATATCACATGAT